ATACACTTAGCCATCTCAACCCTACCCTTTTATATTTCATCTCCTCCTTTGTCTTCCTAGATCACTGTAGACTCAAGAATCTGATCTCTATTATTAAGCTCCCCTTCATTCTAGAACTTTTCATGTCATATTCTTTCCATCTTCTGGTGCTCACAGAAACCTAGCTCTCTCCAGAAGCTAAGGAATTCCTGGCCATCCTCTTCAGTTCAGCCTCCTCTTATGACCCTGACACAGTAGCCGGAGGGAGTCAATTTGTTCCTTATTCCTTCATATCATTTCCAGACCAATGATAATTAATAATAATAATAATAACCAACATTTATATAGTACTTACTTTGTGCCAGGCACTGTGCTAAGTGCTTTACTTTTATTATCTCATTTGATACTCACAACAACCCTGAGAGGTAGATGTTATTATTATTCCCATTTTACAGATGAGGAAACTGAGGCAAACAAAAAATAAGTGACTTGCCCAGGGTCACACATGGAAATGTTTATAGGAAATAATGGAACAAGATAGCTGAACGGAACACAAACGGCAGCCTGCACATATTATGATTATGTAAAAATGTATAAATGAGCATTAGCAAGAAGAGTAATAAAGATTTGAAGTAACGGAGTTTAATGTTCATTAAGTACTTTGATAAATTGTTTAAGTTCCTAATCTTGGAAAAAATGCACAAAATGTCTGGGAAAGCTGACAAGCGTGGTGTTCAATACTTTAATGAGATAATCAGACTGTTTAATTCCTAAGCCTCGGTGGACAGAGGGCAAGGAATGAAAAATGTATAAATGAACGTGTGATGATAATGCCTTCAACTGTGCAGACCTATAACCAAATGGGCAGAACAGACACATGTGCTGTGGCAGTCTGGAGGACTGCTCCACCTAGGCTGGGCTGGGCTGGTGAGAGGAGGTCAAACAGAGAAAAGAACATCTGAAAATAGACCTCACCACTAGTCTCCACCACAAATCCTCTACCTGGGCCAGGCTGGTCTATTTGCTCCTGAAAATGCCTTCCTCAGTTCACCTCGGTAGCCTTCTCCTGCCTGGAACACCCTTCTCTCTGACTTTCCAAATGCTTCAAGGACCAGGACAAATTCTTCCTTCACAGAATCAAATAATCTCAGGATCGAAGAGAGCTCAGCCTCCAGGTAGTCCAGTCTGTACCTTACTGAGAATCCTTCTATTAACTCGCCAGCCCAGAGGAAGGAGGGACTCTTCTTCCTGTTAAATCCTTTAGCACTATCTCTGTTACTGATTTTGGCACTTACCTGTGTACTGCCTTATATTTCTGTTTAACTTGTCCCATGTACATGAATCTCTTCCAAGAGACTGTTTCTTTAAAGGGAAGGGTTATGTCACAAATCTTATTGCTTCCTTATAGTGTTTCATACAAGGCTGGCCACATAGTCAATAATTAATACCTCTTGAATGAAGAAATAATTTTTAAAAAATGTTGGGGTCGCTATCCTACATCTGGTACAATGGAGCAGTCAGAGCCAGAGGATGAACAGATAATCTTTTACTAAAATTATATTCCAATGCCTTCAGGTAAAAACAATTCTGAAGATGGTTAAAACACAGTCCAAAAGATAAAAGCAAATAAAAGATGGTGGTGAGAGGGTCCTAAAAACTACACTCTTCTTGCCCAGAGGGCCTCTAGCTGGGTCCCAAATCAATCAATCAGTGGGGTGGGGGGGGGACAAGTTTTTTGTAAAAGTCCTAGACTGGTATGGTAGGAGTGTGTGCATGTGAGGGGAGAGGAGGGTGGAGTAGAGGGGTAGGGATTGATTTACACCTCCCCAGTTTCCATCAAAATTCTGGCCCATAAGAAATGGGAAAGAAAAATTTCTGGCATCCAAAGTAAGTCAAGAGCAGATATTATTCTGTCTTTAAAATAGTTCACATTTACATAGCATTTTGAAATTTACAAAGCACTTTACTACTGACTCAGGAACTAACGGTAAAAAAATAAACAATAGCCCCAGATCTATAAAAATCTGCAACCTTCATTTGTTTTTCTAAAGTGGAGAAAGCTAACGTGGTCACTGGAAATGATCAAGGTATATTTTAATTTCCGTTACCTTAAAGAGAAACAGTCCTCTTTTCACAAGTATACACTGAGATTAAGTCTCAACAGCAAAAATAAAGCAGATGTTATGGCTTCAATTTCATTCTTTCTCAGAACAGAAGAAGTTGCAGAATACAGCTGACCCAAAAACCAGGCAGGCACTTAAGAAGTAAAAAGTATTAGCAGAAACAGAAATCTACTTCAAAAGAAGGCCCTATGCAAAGAATATATGCTAATGAACAAAATAATTACAAAAAATACTCAAAATGAGCTTCTCTCTCTCTGTCTCACACACACACACACACACACACACACACACACACACACACACACACACACACTTGCATGGCCCGTTCTAAACTTCTCATCAGCACACAGCAGCCAGAGAGTTGCTGGGTTCTCCTCTCACGTCTCTGGAGTTCAGTACTAAATCATCTCCCAGCTATAACTTTTGTTGTTGTTCAGTCGTTTCTCGGTTGTGTCTGATTCTTCATGACCCCATTTGGGGTTTTCTTAGCAAAGATACTGACTGGAGTGGTTTGCCATTTCCTTCTCCAGCTCATCTGACAGATGAGGAAATTGAAGCAAAGAGGGTCAAGTGACTTGCCCAAGGTCACACAGCTAGTAAGTGTCTGAGGCTGGATTTGAACTCAAAAGATGAGTCTTCCTGACTCCAAGTCAAGCACTCTATCCATTATACCACCCAGCTGCCCTTCAATTATAATCCCTTTATAACAACTAATATAATCCCTTTATAACAATATAAATATAATATAATAATATAAATATAATCCCTTTATAACAATTTCATTTTGTTATAGATATTTGTGTATAGGTTTAGTACCATACAAACCAAACTACAGAAAGGGTATTTTGTGGATCTAGACAAAACAAGAACAAAATTTATCTGGAGTAATAAAAGAGCAAGAATTTCAAGGGCTATAATGAAAGCAAGTGGGTATGGCAGGAATCTAGCACAATCAGATCTCAAGCTATGCTATAAAGCCAAAAAAATACTGGTTTTGATACTAGTTAAAAAGGAGAAAAGTTACTCAGTAGCAGGGCAGTTAAGACCCAAAAGCAGTCAAACATAATATTATAGTAGTCAATTAACTCAAGACCAATTCTTACTTATAACATTACTAATGTGAAAATATGTTTAATAGGAATGTATATGTATAGCCTATATCAGATTGTGCACCATCTTGGGGAGGGTGGTGGGGAGGAAGGGGGAGAAAAATTTTAAACTCAAAAGCATATGGAAGTGATTGCTGATAAATCAAAATAAATTAATTAAAAAATAAAATTAACTCAAGAACATTAACTTATGGGGTTATAACTCCCTAACAAAAATACCAGAAATATTAGAAAGAAGTCTGTAGAAACTACCTTTAGGCCAACACCTTATGTCATATACCAAAATGAACTCCAAATCGATACATGATCTAAATATAAAGGGTTGTATAATTAAAAAAAAAAGTTAGAGGACAAAGAGAAGATATCGTTCACAATTATAGATAGAAGAATTCTTACTTATATAAAAGAGAAAGATGATCATGGAAGCTAAAATGGAGAATTTCATTTATATGACATTGAAGCAGCAAGGCACCCTGAGGGAGAGACAGGAAGCAGAATGTGCCAGGCAAGTCAAACCATCACCCACCACCACCATGACTGCTGTCTCCCCTCAGGTCACAATGGAGATAGCTCAGTACCTTAAACCTCAAAGCCTTAGGAATAGCAAAGTTTTGGGGCAGCTAGGTGGCACAGGGAATAGAGCTCTGGCCTTGGAGTCAGGAGGACCTGAGTTCAAATCTTCCCTCAGACACTTGACACTTACTAGCTGTGTGACCCTGGGCAAGTCACTTAACCCTGATTCCCTCCCCCAAAAATCAGAAAAAGAAAAGGAATAGCAAAGTTTCCATCCCAGCGTTCACGGAGAGCATCCTGGGAAGCAATGCCTATGAAGATACAACCTGGTATCGTAGTCACATTTACTGAAGACCCAGAAAACAAAGTTCTGGTCACTAAAGTTTTGTTTAATTGTTCAACATCAGAAACTGTTGTGATTTTATCAGTGGAAGTGATGTCTAAAGAAAAGGCATTTCACCATCTGCTTCGCAACAACACCCTGCGGACCATGGGCTTTCCTATCTTGACTTGTGGGTGAAACTTTTCTCTGTGTGTTATCTCTCTCATTATAATGTGAGCTCCCTGAGAACGGGGACTACCTGACTTTTCTATTTATATTCCCCTATATTTGTATCCCCCACTTAGCACAATGCTTTAGTCATGGTAAATGTGTAATACATGTATTTTTTTTTCCATAAATTGGAAGAAGGGGAGTTGGATTAATGGGCATGATAGAAATCTTAAAAGAGCATTAATAAAACCTTTCAAATACACAGAAAAGAAGTACAGAACAGGACACAAGTAGAACAATTTTCTTACTACCTTCTTAAACTTAATAGATATATTTTTATTAAAAAAATCCTTGTACATAAGAGAATTTTGCAGTTTTATAATACAATTACTTCCTTATTCTTTGTTATCTCAGAATGCACTTGTTGACAAGTGTTAAATACACACAAAAAAGAGATCTGTATATGTTACATACCTAATTATGTCCCCCAAAACATAACAATTGCCCAAGTAAAAACTGAAATAACTAATAATATGTCTTAGTCCCTTTTTTATTTACTCAGTAAATATTTACAAGCATTGCCGGTTTTACGCAGAAGGCAATGTGTCATGCCTGGTTGTAAAGAGGTTGGATTGTAGTTAAACACTGGAGACAAGGCATGCCCTCTTCCTTATGCCATTAAGACTAGTCACACTGTCTGCAGGTGGGTTTTAGAGAACGACTGCTCCGTGCATGCATCCTGTGGTCTTGTAATGAAACAAACAAACAGGACATAAGCCAAACCTGTTGGGTATATGTAGTTTGGAGAGCTTCTTGGGTTCTGCAAGTCGTTCAACTCTTTTAGTGAGCTTCGCATTCAAAGCATTAAAAGATAAAGGTCTGATAGTATCTTGATTTCCCCAAACCAATTTTCTGTTAAAAAGAGAAAGACAAAAGCATACATTACCTACTATGAAGTAAATGCCCTTGCCTTAGGAATTATACCTGAACATCTCCATGTATACTGATTTTTCTCTTTCTTCAAAAAGTCTACATATAAACATTTTGCAAGTACAGTTGTTAAGAAAGATAACATTTACAAAGATAAATTAAGTATATAGATTTAATCCACATTCTTAAAATAGGATATGCCAAAAAATAGTTACTTAGAATACTATGTTTTCATCATCATATACTTTACATACTTTTTTAAAAGGATAATTTACAACTCAGGCTCAGACCAAGAATAGATACAGAATATGTATGTCAACAACAATTACTGGGTTTTAATAAATGTGAAGAACCCTGAACCAGATGCTGAACGTGGTTAGATTAGATAATCTTCAAGGTCACTTCCAACTCAAGGTAAGAGTTACATCATACAATGTAACAATGATTGAAACTAGAGGTGACCAGAGAGAGAACAAATGAACTCTGAATGCAAATTGAAGTACAATTTTCTCATTTTATTGTTTTTTTTTCAAATATGGCTAATATGGAAATATGTTCTGCATGATTTCACACGTGTAATCAATATATTGCTTGCCTTCTCGGTGGGTGGGAGGGAGACAGAGAATTTGCAACTCAAAATTTAAAAAAGAAAGGGATAATAAAAATAAATGATCATTTAAAAAATTAAAATTAAAGGGCAGCTAGGTGGCACAGTAGATAGAGCTCTGGCCTTGGAGTCAGGATGACCTGCATTCAAATTTGGCCTCAGACACTTGACACTTACTAGCTGTGTGACCTTGGGCAAATCACTTAACCCCAAATACCTTGCCCCCCAAAAAAATTAAATTAAAAAAAAGAAACCAGAGGTGAATATGAAATAGTAAAAAATACAGTCTCTGCCTTTAAAAGGTATATAATCTAACTCAGGTTGCACAAGATACATTCATGAAGAAAACACAAAAAGCAACAGTTAAATGACTGCAAATGAATAATGAAGGAAGTACTAAGTTGATGAAGAGTAAAGGAACTGGGGGCAGCTAGGTGGTACAATGGATAGAGCCCCAGCCTTGAACTCAGGAGTCCTGAGTTCAAACCCGGCCTCAGACCAAACACTTGACACCAGCTGTGTGACCCTAGGCAAGTAAGTTAACCCCAAATGCCTAAAACAAATAAAAAATTTTTTTTAAAAATAAGAGTAAAGGAACTGGTTGGGCTTAATCAAGGAAAATGTCCTGGGACAGGTAAGTTTCAAGCCAGGTTTGAAAGGAATGAGGAACTGACAAGAAAGAGGGAAGAAGGCATTTGGAATAATCTTCTATTAGACAAAGGCAGGAGGGCAGCCTTTATTTTTTTTCATTGGGTTAGAAAGCCACATAGGAATGTAACCAAATGTCATATGAGATCATATGATCCTAGATTTACAGCTAGAAGGGACCTCGGAGACCATTTAGGTAAGGGAAGTCCAGAATAGAGATTAACTAACGTGCCTAATATCATACAGGCAGACTATGATCCTGGGTCCTCTGACCTGAAGCCTGTGCTCTTTCCACTGTACCATCCTGCCTCTGGGTGTGGTAAGCTAGGAAGATCTTGAAGGGCCTGGCAGAAGTGCATGAATTTGGTAATATAGCAATGTTTCATTTATGTGGCGTTATCAGGAGTAGGGAGTGACTTGAAAAAAAAAAAGATGGTTATAGAGTAATAAAACTGTATACCCTTTGACCCAGCAATACTACTTCTAGGTCTGTTTCCCAAGGTGATCAGGAAAAAAGAAAAAGAACCTATACATTCTAAAATATTTACAGCAGCTTTCTTTGTGGAAACAAAGAACTTGACATTGAGGGGATGCCCATCAATCGGGGAATGGCTGAACAAGTTGTGGTAAATGAATGTAATGGAATTCTATTGTTCCATAAGAAATGATGAGGTGGCACAGTGGATAGAGCACCAGCCCTGAAGTCAGGAGGACCTGAGTTCAAATCCGGCCTCAGACCAAATGCTTGACACTTATTAGCTGTGTGACCCTGGGCAAGTATTTAAACCCAATTGCCTAAAAAAAAAAAAGACGAGCAGACGGACTTCAAAAAAATCTGGAAAGACTTATATGGACTGATGCTGAGTGAAGTGAGCAGAGCCAGGGGAACACTGTACACAGTAACAGCAACATTGTGTGATGACTAAGTTTGATAGACTTAGCTCTTCTCAGCAACACAAGGATCTAAGACATCTCCAAAAGTCTCATGATAGAAAATATTATCCACATCCAGAGAAAGAACTATGGAGTCTGAATGCAGATCAAAGCATACTATTTGCTTTCTTTCTTTTTTTTTTTTTGGTTTCTTCTTTCTTGTGGTTCCTCCTATTGGTTCTAATTCTTCTTTACAACATGACTAATGTGAAAATATGTTTAATACGAATGAATTGCATGCCATCTTGGGGAGGAGGGAGGGAAGGGAGGGGGAGAAAATTTAGAACTCAAAATCTTATGGAAGTGAATGCTGAAAACTAAAAATTAATTAATTAAAAAAAAGAAATGATAAGCAAGTTGGTTTTAGAAAACCATGGAAAGACTTGCATGAAATAATGAAGAGTGAAATGAGTAGAACCAAGAGAATATTGTACAAAGGAATAGTAATACTGTTTGAAGAAGAACTGTGAACTACTAAGCTATTCTGAGTGTTATAAATATTCAAATCAATTACAAAGGACCTATGAAGAAAGATGCTATCTACCTCCAGAGGAAAAAAATTGATAAATAGAAGTATATACAGTATGTTTTTACATATATATGTATATACATATACATATATGTAATATGTGTATATTTGTGTCAAATGGTGCCTTTCTATAGTGCAGGGTAGGAAAAGGAGACAGTTTGCAACTTAAAATGTAACAAAAAAATAAATTAAATTAAATTTTCAAAAGATGGTTGGTGAAGATAATAATGCCAATTAATAACAAGGTAGATTGGGGAAGTGAGAAGGCAGAGAGGCCAATTATGGGGTTACTATGGTAGTTCTAATATAAGATGAAAGTGCCTGGACTATGGCGATGGTTACTAAAATAGGAGGGAAAGGCCAGATCTAAAAGATACTGATAAGGGGTTTACAGGACTTGGTAACAGATTGAAACTGAGGAGGCAAAAATAATGATCCAGAACTTACAAGCCAAGAGACCTGAGAATAAGATAATACCACTAAAATCACAAAATATCAGAGAGCCAAATAAAACTTTAGAGATCAGGGGCAGCTAGGTGGCACAGTGGATAGAGCACCAGCCCTGGAGTAAAAAGGACCTGAGTTCAAATCCAGCCTCAGATACTTGACACTTACTAGCTGTGTGACCCTGGGCAAGTCACTTAACCTCATTGCCTAGCTAAAAAAATAAATAAATAAAGTGGTTGAGAGGCAAAAAAAATTTTGGGGGGCAGCTAGGTGGCCAAGTGGATAGAGCACTGGTCCTAGAGTCAGGAGGACCTGAGTTCAAATCCAGCCTCAGACACGATACTTACTAGCTGTGTGACCCTAGGCAAGTCACTTAACCCTGATTATCTCACCAAAAAAAAGCCTTTAGATATCAATCACTAGTTAGTTAGTTAAAGCAGCTGAAAGCCACAATTTTATATATTTTTCAGGAATTACTGACACATTTAAATGGAAATATCTTATAAGCAAGTGGAGATATTGACCTAGAGATAAAGTATAAGAAATCAGGCACTGAGAATGTACATTTGGAAGTCAAATGAAGACAAGGTAAAATAATCAATTTTTATATATTAAATACCCACTAAGAGCAAGGCATTTTCCTAGGTGATATAAGAGATACAAAGATCAAATGAGGTCACATATTTAAAGCACTTTGCATCTATAAAAGCGCTATATAAATGTTAGCTATGATGATGATGATACAAGAAAGTACATAACCTGGTCCTTATACTGAAGTTGTTTAGAATCAAATTATAAGATGTGTCTATTTATCTACATAAGATAAGAATGTATAAATGAAAATATAATAGAGAATGTTTTGTTTGATGTTTAAGAGTGTTGATAGGAGTTCAGGGGGAAAAGAAATCTCTTTTATTTCAGTAAAGAAGTCTTTAAAAAGGTGCTAGGATTTGAGTTGAGTATTGAAGGTAGTGTGTATGGATGGACAGTCTAGGTAAGCCAAGCCTTCCTGATCTTCCAGGGCACAAAATCTTCATTCCTCTTCTTCTCTCACCATTCCTTCTCTATCTTCTTAGATGGCTACTCATCTAAGAAGTAGCCTTTAAACTTTGGAATCTAGCAAGGTCCTGTCCTTCAACTATTTGCCTTCTTTCTTTAGACTCTCCCACTTGATGTCATTCACTATCATGGCTTTAATTATCAACCTGACATGGATGTCTCCCAAATCTATATCTCTATCCCAACTTTTCCTTGGGCTTCCAATTCCATATTTCTAATTGCCTGCTGGATATCTACAATTAAGTGTTCCACCAGCACCTCAGATTCCACAATCAGATTCAGCTTTTTCCCTCAAACACACTCCTTCTACCTACCTTTACTATTTCCACTTATGATACCAATCACATGAGTGAATAACCTCAGAGTTTGCCTTTCACTCTTCCCTCTCTCTCTCTTGCCACATAATCTCAACAAGTCCTATCATAGCTGTCAATGTATATCTCTTCTATCCATCCTCATCTTCCTCTCCTCCTTTCCACTGAACTTCCCTTGGTTTTTTCACCTAGACTATCATATTAGTCTGCTATCTGTCTTTCCGCCTCTCTCCCATCAATCCTCCACACGACTACCCAAATAATTTTTCTAATGTACCACTCTGTGATATCACATCACTCCTACTTCTCCAAAACCTTCAGTGGCTCCCTATTGCTTACCTAATAAATTATAAATTCTGATGTTAACTATCAAGTCCCTGTATAATCTGGTTCAACCAATGTTTCCAGCCTTGTTTCAAACTGCTCCCTATCATATACTCTATGT